AAACCGAAACCTACTGATTTAACACTACAACTATAGATGTCGAGATACTACCATGCTGAATATTAAATGAAAGTACAGTTTATTTGAATACACTATTGTTTACAGACGAGAGTAGCATGTGACAACATCCGGAAACCAAACCAGCCGTGAAGTATTTTCTGTATGTTTTAGAGTATTGATTACAGCGTTTAGAATGTGTTACATGAAAAGTGATGAAAGAGAATATGAGGAGAAAAGGCGTGTTAAGCATATGTTGAAGGTGAAAAGTACCAATCCTCTGTTTAAATGCAACAACGGACATTAGAGGCGAGGCGAGCCGGCTGGCGGGGAGGAGCCAGCAGAGGATATATAACGGCACCGAACGGGGGATGGGCCTTCTCTTCTTGCTCAGGAGAGCCAGATCACAGCTGTTTTCTGCCGGAACAATATGCTGTCTGTAACACTACCGCGCCTTTTTTTAATTAAAGTATCCCATTTGAATCTTTTCAGAGACTCCATTTAGTCTCATTTTAAAGCTTCTCTCCTGGACGCGAGAATAAAGAACATATTTAACAAGCTTAATACACTTTTAATAAAAAGCTATTCACCATTTTCTTTCTCAGGTTAATACGTTTATAAAGCTAGCAGCATTAAGCAAAGTAATAGCATTTCCATTCTTAAGCAGATGTGTGAACATAATGCAATGCAGAAGTGTTCAGTTCAGAATAAAGGGATTACAGTTCCCCTGTGTATCTGGCATTGTGTACACGTGTTTGTTTTTAACTCATTGATATCTGTTTCCACTGCTGCCAGTTTAATCTACCCATGCTCAGTCGTACCTGTTGGTGACGGTGTGGCGGTCCTTCATCTCCGACCTCTCGAACCAGACGTGAGGACAGGACCTGGACATGGACCTCTGCAGGACCCCCATCAGACCCCCGTGCACCTGACCCACCTGTTGGACCACAGACACCCCATCAGACCCCCGTGCACCTGACCCACCTGTTGGACCACAGACACCCCATCAGACCCCCGTGAACCTGACCCACCTGTTGAACCACAGACCCCCATCAGACCCCCATCAGACCCCTATCAGACCCCCATCAGACCCCCGTGAACCTGACCCACCTGCTGGACCACAGACACCCCAGCACTACACATAGAGTCCAATGTATTTTCTCTTGTTTTCCTTGTGCACTTTTGAACTTGCAATGTTTCTGTTTTTTTATTACATGCCTCAGGTAAATTAGCATCTCTGCTAACCGTGTTTTTTTTTCATCTGGTATCTTTTTCTGTGAACTACACATTGATTCCAATTCCTGACTTGTTAAAGACTTGTTACTGACTTGTTAAAGACTTGTTACTGACTCGTTAAAGATTTGTTACTGACTTGTTGATGTGCAGGATGGTGACGCGTTAATGACTCGTTAATGACTTGTTACTGACTTATTCTGGACTTGTTACTGAGTTGTTGTGGTACAGGATGGTGACTCATTACTGACTCGTTAAAGACTTGTTACTGACTCGTTAAAGATTTGTTACTGACTTGTTGATGTACAGGATGGTGACTCGTTAATGACTCGTTATGACTTATTCTGGACTTGTTACTGAGTTGCTGTGGTACAGGATGGTGACTCGTTACTGACTCGTTAATGACTTATTCTGGACTTGTTACTGAGTTGTTGTGGTACAGGATGGTGACTCGTTACTGACTCGTTAAAGACTTGTTACTGACTTATTCTGGACTTGTTACTGAGTTGCTGTGGTACAGGATGGTGACTCGTTACTGACTCGTTAAAGACTTGTTACTGACTTGTTCTGGACTTGTTATGGTACAGGATGGTGTATTCTGTATATTAGTCTCTCCCTGTATAATCAGACGTAATGAAGACCCTCACCATGGCGTAGCAGCCGTCGTTGGCCAGGATCACGATATCGATGGGCGTCGTGTGATTGGCCACGCAGATCCCTCCTTTCTGAGGGCGATTCTCTCTGAGAGACACGAGGAAGCTCTGTTAGAGAGATCTGGGACAGGTTAGTGACTCGTTAATAACTAGTTCATGACTCGTTAAAGACTTGCTACTGACTTGTTGTGGTACAGGATAGTGACTCGTTACATGTTATATGACTGGTTATTTACTTGGTATGGCAGAGGATGGTGACTCGTTAATGACTTGTTAAAGACGTGTTACTGACTGGTTGTGGTACAGGTTAATGACCCATTATATGACTGGTTATTGACTTGTTATGGTAAAGGGTAGTGACTTGTTAAATACTTATTAAAGACTTGTTACTGACTTGTTGTGGTACATGATAAAGACTTGTTAAAGACTAGTTAATTACTTGTTGTGGTACAGGATGGTGGCTGACAGTCCTCTGGCACATACCCTGTAACAGGTCAGATGGACGAGTTCACTCAGCCAGTTCTTCCCACTGAGGCATAGAACAGATATTATGCATTATATTATATATATATATATATATATAGTATATATTTATGTATATATATAGTATATATTTATGTATATATATATATATATATATGCTGTGTTTCTCTGTTTCTGTACCTGCACTCCGGCAGCAGCCCCACCAGAACGGTTCCTATGACGAGCCAGGAGAGACCAATCACAGCCAGAGTGACCCTGAGAGACCAGATGGAGACACGTTGACCAATCAGCATCCTTCAGGTTAACTAGTGCTCCTTTTAGAGGCAGATCTGCAGGAACACGTCCTAAAACCGTTAAGGACTCGTTAAGGACTCGTTAAGGACTCGTTAAGGACCTGAATGGAAACAGCAGGCTGTCCCCCCAGAACAGGCTGATGTATCTGAAGTTCTGATTGTTACCTGACTCGTTAAAGACTAGTTAGTGACTCATTAAAGACTCATTAAGGACCTGAAGTGCAGCAGCAGGCCGTAGCGGACGAACACCCCGCCCCCCCAGAACAGCGTGAGGCGCAGGCTGACGTATCTGAAGTTCTGGTTGTTTGTTACCTGACTCTTTAATGACTCGTTAATGACTCGTTAAAGACTCGTTAAGGACCTGAAGGGCAGCAGCAGGCCGTAGCGGACGAACACCCCGACCCCCCAGAACAGCGTGAGGCGCAGGCTGATGTATCGGAAGTTCTGGTTGGTTCTGGTCAGCAGGTTCCAGGAGTTGAGTTCCTCGGAGGAGAAGCGCTGAGTCACCGCATCGTCCACGAGGCTCTCCAGCCCCGTTTGGTAGAAGAAGAGAGCGTCGCTGAGGGAGAAGAGACCGCCCGTCGGGGGGGCGTCGCCCCTCAGGCGCCCCACCCCCTCCTGCATGGAGCCTCCTCCACGCTCAATGATTCCTGTGGGAGAAACATTTGTATAACTACACTGAACAAAAATATAAATACAACACTTTAGTTTTTGCTCCCATTTTTCATGAGATGAACTCAAAGATTTAAAACATTTTCAACATACACAAAATAACCATTTCTCTCAAATATTATATTTGAGAGAAATGGTTATTTTGTGTATGTTGAAAATGTTTTAAATCTTTGAGTTCATCTCATGAAAAATGGGAGCAAAAACTAAAGTGTTGTATTTNGTGTGTGTGTGTGTGTGTGTGTGTGTGTGTGTGTGTGTGTGTGTGTGTGTGTGTGTGTGTGTGTGTGTGTGTGTGTGTGTGTGTGTGTGTTTGTACTGTTGCATAAGTTCAGTGGAACAAGAGTTCACTGAAACTCTTTTAACCCTTTCCCTTCAGCTCCACTCACAGTTGGAGAAACTACTCTACTAACTTTACATTAATGCTAAGCTGATTATTAATATTAGTTTATAAGCTCTAAAAGACTAAATCTAATATATTAATATCTTATCTGAGGTAAAGCTTTACTCCTAATGTTTGATCATAACTACTAACTCTGTTTATTTGAACACCTAAAAGGCCATTAGGTGTTTTTATGAACGTTTTCTAATTTAAATGTTTTTGAAATATTAAACACTAGTTAAAAAATTGTGAAAATATGATTTAAAACAGAATAAAAACAAGAGGAGGAAAAAAGAGAAAAAAAGCAAACAAACGTGATCATTATAGTTCATATAAATAAATTATAAAAAATGCTTAGAAAACATGGAAACAACATAAGAAAAACTTGAAAACAGATTAAAAAAAAGACTAAATTAAAGAAAACAATTATATTATATATATTATAGTATGAAACATTTCTGTGTTTCCTCCCAGAGGAATCATTGAGCGTGCAGTTTTGCTTTATTGGGGGGGTCTGGAGGGGTCCGAAAACCCTAGGGTTAAACCCTAACCCTAACCCTAACATGTCACCCATTGAGCATGTTTGGGATGCTCTGGATCGGCGTCTACGACAGCGTGTTCCAGTTCCTGCCAATATCCAGCAACTTGGCACAGCCATTGAAGAGGAGTGGACCAACATTCCACAGGCCACAATCAACAACCTGATCAACTCTATGCCAAGGAGATGTGTTGCACTGCATGAGGCAAATGGTGGTCACACCAGATACTGACTGGTTTTCGGACCCCCCCCCAGACCCTGAGGCTGTGCGAAGTGGCTGGATATTGGCAGGAACTGGAACACGCTGTCGTATACGCCGATCCAGAGCATCCCAAACATGCTCAATGGGTGACATGTTAGGGTTAGGGTTTAACCCTAGGGTTTTCGGGCCCCCC